GAACGCTGGAATGTTCCAGAAGGATTGAGTTCGCGTGGCGCCAGCCTTTTGTCCACCAATTGTGAAGCCTGGCAGGAGACCATAATTGGTGGAAAACAGGCCGGCGTTGCGCGGAATCCAACCCCCTGAAACGTTCTAGCGCCCGCCGCGAACAAGACTGTGAAAGCTTTAAATGTTCCAACCTCTCTCATACTGTACGGGAAGACGTAGCAAAACGTATACTTGACATCGCGCATCAATTCGATAGTCCTCCTATGAGCATCTTCGGTTTCACCGCAAAACCCAGCAATGAAGTCACTGGTGAGGCTGACATCTAAATTAATCCATATGAATGAAGACAGCGACAAGCCAAGTATGACTCGTATTTCATACTTGGTAGCACTCCTCGAATGTCATCCACCAATCTGAGATACGCTTCTCTCGTATAGCCGCGACCCATCCGCTCCAATGTGTCATTGTCACCGCTTTGTGCAGGCAAATGTAACTGATTACAAATATTCGGCCTCTCTTTGATCAGCTTGATCACCTGGAAATGTAGAATAATGCAGTGATGAAGAATGCAGAACCACCACTTTTTCATAATCGTGTGAATGAACGAAAAGCAACGAATGTACGCGCAGGTGGGCTTGGGGGGGGGGGGGGAGAGGCATCACGCACATTTGCTACCTCCAGTCGAGGAGATTGTTTCACAAACAATTGGTCCTTACAAACTTTGAGTGTTATCTCTTCGTGGCTTCACGAGTTTCACGGGCTCGACATCTAATGGGAAGCAGCGATCGTGCATAATGCTCCTCCCCCCCCCCAAACCGAAGTGTGCCCGAATGTATAACGATACAACAGTAACAACAACAACAACATCGCTCATTTTAACAATTAAACTAATACAGATAATCACCTCAACAGGGAAATCCTTGGGATGTGGTGATGTGAAGCGAATGCGCATTTCGGGATCCACTTCCGAGATTTTTTCTAGCAGTGTCAAGAACGTCCGACCACCTGTCTTCGGCCTAATCAGGAGAATTGCAGTAGAGCAAAATATTCTGATAAATACCGCTCACTTGTAGACTGTAGAGAATCCAGGAACAGTGCTCGTTGGCATAGCGCTCTCCACAACATAGCTTGACTCGGACATATCTCTATAGCTGTTGACATTTTGACCCAATAAAGTGACTTGTTTAACGCCCTGAAATCGTTTTAAAAGAATTATGTTCTGGCATAAGAGCAACCTCTTCACATTCTGGACCGCGTTTCACTCATGCACAGTCATGTGTTTTCCTCTTTTATCCTCGTTTTATACAAACAATTCGAAATCATTGCCAAAATAAATTTGCGAGCGTGGACGACATATTTCTTATTTTGAATTGAGAAAGATGATCAAATCAGCAACTTCGAGGTGAAGAATTAATAATTGATGTGGAAATAGTCGCATTGTATTGTGATGTTTTGAAGTATTCGTGGTTCACCGCAGATGTTTTCGAAAGCAACTTCGCTTGAAACTGTTCGGCGTTAGACCCAAAAACGAAAGTTTCTTCTAACACCACGCTTTTGTTTTCCCCCTCTGCGACTCAGTAGTATTTTCAACC